TTTTTTTCCCTTATACTTACCGGTCCCCCGCCCGGCGACCACCGGAAGTCGCGGCGCGTATACGGCCGCCCAAAAAAAAAATAGCAGGCCGAGGTACTGGTGGTTTAAGTTGGCCCTATATATATATGTACACGGTTGCCAGGCCGAATGTTCGGGGGCCCCCAGGCTGACCCCCCAACGTTCGGAAGTTCGGGGTCAAGTTCGGGGTCCCGTTCGGGGTCTCGAACCTGAAGGGGTTTGGCCCCCGCCAAAAATCATTTCGAGGCCTAAAAAATATTGTTTTTGTTGATTTTTTTTTTGTGAGTTCTGTACGACATGCGCTACATGCATATAAAGTTTCAATGCATTTTGAAAAGCCAAAAAAAAAAAGAAAAATCGCCAAAGATGGTGGTGTCAAAATGTGCCCAGCCACTCATTTCTTTTTTTTTTTTCACTTTTCACTTTTTGTTTTGATTTTCTTTTGGTGCCTCAAATATTTTATTATTTTTTTAAACTTGTTTTATTAGTGCGAGGCCAAGGGCCCAATGAGCCCCTTTTTGGGCCCTGTTATGCAGCACGTCGGCCGCCCTAAGTGAAGGCAGGCTCGACGAGGGCCTGAGCGCCTCTATTTCGGTCACCGCGCAACTGAGGAAAATTCAGGCACTTGCGCAGCGCCAGTTGATTGAAGAGCACCCAGGCCCGGGCCGCCTGTTTGCATGTATGGAAGGCAGGCCCTTGGCTGGGTACGGGATATGGGCCAAACACAGGCCGAGAACAGTTGGGCACAAGTAACCACCACAGGCCCTGGGCCTGATCCGTTTGGACTGGGCCTCAGCATACCGGGGCCTACCGGAAGCTTCTTGGGACAGGCCCAGCGCAGCAGCAGGCAGGCCACTTCCATATAGCAAAGGGCCTGCCTCCGCATTGGACATTCGGGTGCTGGCTGCATGCTGCGCAAGCGCTGCTGCGCTGAAGCTGGCCAGCGCTCACGCGCTCACGGGCGAGCTGGAAGGAGCAGGCAGCCATAGCCAAGCTGCGCTGCTGTAGGCTACGTGTGGCGCAGGGTGGTCCTTGGGTGCATGTGGCATCTGTGTGTTGGGGAACGAGGTTGTGAGTGATGCGAGAGACATACCTGGTGCTGGAAGCGTGCGGCATTGGCCGCTATCTGCTCGTACTTCGGGAGAGCTGTTGTCGTCATCTTCGGCATTGTAGTCTAGGCTAGATAGGATCTGGCATCTGTAGTCTGGGCGACGAGCGCCAGTTAGGATATCAACGTTGGTTCTTTGTTGATGATGATGATGAGACTATTCCAGCATTGTCAATTATGAGCTTCTGGTGTACTCTTATTTGGTGAAACTCGCAATGCAATTCTGCTTTTGGTTTGAGGTCACGACTATCTGGTCTTATGTGTATGATGCTGTTTGATTGCTGAAGTTCGCTATTGCTCATCTTTCTTGCAATTTGGTATCGGAGCTGTGGTATGTTGCGCTTATCTGGCGCTTGTCTTCTGTCTATGCGGTACATACATGCGGTCTGCTTGGTGAGTGAGGTCGTAGGTGGTGTGTAGTGAGGAGGGCGGAGACAAGGTGTGGCGACCCAGGAGGAGAGGGAAATCGCCAGGAAGGCTACGGAGTGTATATTGGGTGTTCGCAGTGTGATGAGAACTATCTGGTGGTTGATTGATGCTGAGGTGGAACGGCGAGATAATGCTGGTTGTGCCGATGCAGTGACTGGTCATCGCAATCGCCATCAGGTCATCTGGTGAGAATATATGTGGTTGGAGGCAGCTATAATGAGGTACGTTGCTCTTAACCTTATCTACCCTCTTCATCACTTCTTACTGTGAGGTTGCGAGTTCCTTCTTGAGAGTCCTCTCATGTGAGGTGTCGTGTGCGCTCAACCTTGAGAGTCGGCATTGTTCTCGTGGAGCATCTGGAAGGAGAGGACAGTGCTTTTTGAAGGGCCTTGAACAGAGCACTGGGTCACGGTCACCATGCCAACCCACCGGGAGTGGAGCACGCATGCTTTGCTGCTTTGTCCTTGTCTGCTTGCTGCGCTCATAGAAGGGGTACTGAAGGGCTGGCCAGCCCTATGGGAGAGACGAGTACCGGGCGTCTATAAATAAACATCGGCTGGGGAAACCATTGGCTGTGATCGTCGTCCTGTTGCAACGTAAAATAATTCTTGATGACACTTGGGGGCGGTCGTTAAATTGCCTTTGGATCAGCCAATAAGGCTCGTTGCACGCGAGGATAAACACAGTGCAGGGCTGGCCAGCTCAGCAGATACTCGGGGCACAGGGGTGGGCCGTGTGCACACCTTTAGTCACGCACGCTAACCGGATTGCTGAGGGACGCTGACGTCAAGTGACAATCAAGGGGAATTGGGGAAGGGGTAGATTCCATGTAATAAGTTTGACTAAGATCCCATGCTGTAAACAGACCCAACAAATGATATTATTTTTATTTTTGATTAGTTAGATGTACTGCCATTGACATCTGACAAACAGCATAGTTTAGAACTGATTCTGTTCATTATGCTTTCTGTTCGCGAGCTAATCAAAGTAGAATAGTATTATTTGTAGGAATCTGAACTTACCTGCTGGACTCGAACGTTTAGTCTCTAATACAACTGCGGATTATTCATATCGGTCTGTACATGTCGCTGCGGTAGGCATCCATTGCGTGTCCTAGTGTAGACGGTGTGCAGTTCTATAGCATATGAGTGATAGGGACACCACTAGTGAGGACGACCGGATCTTGCGATCGGCTAGACGCCCGATAGCCCACTTGGCCTTAGGACCAGAGGGCGACAGATATTTGTTCCACCAGCTTAGGGAGAGGCAGCAACAGCAGAGGAGAGCTAGAGCAGCAGAGGCTAGCAAGGAGCTCGTAAGCGAAGCCGTAGCTTCGGAAGCCATGGTCACTTCTGCACAACAGACTTCTCAGGCCGGTATTTTAGGATCTGTAGGGTCAACGGTCGCACAGACCCAGAGTCAGTCGGCTCGAGTTATGGCAAGCCAGCTAGTGGTGTTGTCACCCGAGGAGATCACCATACAGCAGGCTGCCCTGCAAGAGGCACAACTACAGAAGGCTTTAGGAGAGATTAAGGCAAAAAAAGAAAAAATGATTAGAAGAAGAGTCAGGTTGCGGCGGCGACAAGCGGACATTAATGAGTTAGAGGAGATGGACCCAGCAGAGTTGGATGATCCGGTGAGGGCCCTGAGGTCAGTCTTGTTAGGAGTAGTAGAGATGCAAGACCAGCAGACGACAATCTTACAGGACATCCAGCAGAGTCACGCCGTCTTGGTCGGACAAGCGCAGGCGGCACCATCACTGTCCGGGCCCGGTGCCCGGCCCGTTGTACATCCTCCTCCTTTTGTTCCACCGGTGACTGGGGTATCCCCATATAACGCTCCAGTATCGGTTCAGCCTGTCTCCCTGGGTATGCCGTTAACAGGCGGGTTCTCAGCAGGTCCTAGTTTGCAGGTTCACGTACAGACAGTGTTCGCCCAACCTCCGTCGCAAGTTGCCGCAAGTGTGCAGCCTGCCAGCCGCAGGGTACACAGCCCCAACAGTCAGTGCAGTAGCCTGCACCACAGGGTCCACAGCCCGAAGTGATGCCGGGACCGGGACAAAGTCAGTGGGTACCAAAGATTACCATCGCCGCTCCTAAACCCTTCACAGGGGACAAGAGGGGCGAAGACCTCGACACTTGGTTGAGGGCAGTGCCGGTTTATGTCAAGTGCAAACGTACCTTGCTGCAAAAGGAAGTGCTTGTGGCTGCCTCCTATTTAGAGGGGAGTGCAGCACGATGGTTGAGTGGTTTATTGCAGCTACAGGGCTACGGTCATGACTTTCGCGCTTGGGCGGTCACCCAGAAACTGGATGACTTTCTCAAGTTGGTGGAAGACAGGTGGCACGATCCTCAGGAGGCCCAAAAGGTCACTGACGCGATCCTGACACTGCACACGAGGCAGTTCAAGTCACTAAGGGAGGCCACTGACGTTGTAGAGCGTCTGATCTGTGTCCCTGGGATTCGCAATGACCCCCAGGTCTTACTCACCTCCTACCTGAGATGCTTTCCCATGCCTCTCAGGAATCAGTTGTCAGGTG